GCTATTCAATGCGCGATTAGAGCACTGGAGTTTATTAAAACTGAAACGGACGACAAATTGATATTACTAACACAATTTTTGACATTCAATGCCAACTTCTCAAAACATTATACGAAGCATTTATGTAAATAACCGGCAGAAAATCTAATTAAACCGGCGAATATGTAAGTGTATGATGCAAAATCCAATAAATTTGCCTCATGCTGGCTAATTTGAATAATTATTCTTTGGGGAAAATTTATCGTTGTTATGAATTACACTCGGGCAAGCAACACCTTTATGAAAAATACAATTAAACAAACATCCCCGAAAGGCTGCAGTCGTAAAAGAGTAGGGAAATTAATGATTTCGGGCATAACCCACAGCTTGGAAGTATACAGTCCTTTTGATTATGCTCGGTAAAGGGACTCGGGCGAAATTAAATTTATACTCTTCAAACTTTCTTTTTGTTCTGTTTCGGGTCGGTTTCAAAGAAGAAACGCGCGGTTAAAGTGTTCTCGTTCCGCTCCTTTTCATTACTCGCGATTTTTTCCTCCTCGCTTTCCTTATTTAGGCGCTCGATATTGGGCAACAGAAAAATGCTTCGAGTTCGAAGTTCCGGCCTTTGGAAGTTTACGAAATTTTAAATTAAATATTATTAGATAGATACTCGAGATACTCGAGATAAAGCTGGACTTGATTGTACTGGACTGGAGAGTGCGTCGAGATGATCACATCAAAATTGTATTAGCTTTCGCACCTCGTTCCCCTGACTAAGGCTTGACCCACATTATCAATGCTATTACAGCCTTCCTTCTCGCCGGGTTTTGTTTAAACGGTTTGATAATTGCCAATTGTTTTGGAGTTACTGTGAAAGTGACGCAATTACCGAACGGCTCCCGGCGAGCGAGGAAAACTGGTTGTTCACAAACAAGCGCCACCAATCACAATAAAATATGTTTCATGGGTTTATTCACCTTATTTTTCAGCCTCCAGCGAATCTTTAATGCTGCAAAAATCTACCACAAATGCGCACCTAGTCTCTATTATTTATTGAAATACGGTTATCATTTGAATTCTGCTAATAATAGTAGATTAAGTACCAAGGTGTGAAGAGTGCAACAATGAAAAATTAAAGCGATATCCTCTATCCTGTAGATGATATACTAGTAGTACCTAATTATTTTTAGAAATTAAATATACATGTAAATGTCTACAAATAAATTAGAAATAAACTAAAAAAATGTTAACTTTGGTAATTGCTGGTTATATTTAATTGCCCACCAATTAGTGTTTAACGAATAATTTACTCGTTTTTTATATTGTATCAATTATATGCAATATTTTACTTAGTATTAGGCAGGAAACTCGGAGTGTTTAATTAGTTTTTTTGCACCGAAAATTTATTATTAGAAATAGTTAAAGCTAAATTATGTTAGTGCTTAGTTCAAGGATTTTACTTGTTGCAAAAAAAATATTTTGTGCCATTCCGTTGAAATTTAATTTACATATATAATCTAAATTAAAAAAAATATATATGCATTTATTTACAATTTTTGAGGGAAGCTCTCTACAGCAACGCCCTTGACCTGCAGTTTATTCTCGTAGAACATCAAGGTGTGCGTTATAACATTACATTACCCGGCATAGCAACAAACAAAACGGCTAGCACAATAAACATTGATAGAAACAGGTGAACGTTACCATAAAAAGAGTAGGTAATGGTTAGTAACATTATTGTATAATACCTATCGTTTTAAGCATGCCTGTTGCCGTTCAATTAAAAATTTCCTAATAATTAATTTGAATAATGCAGGATTTCATTCTTTCTACTATAATGATTCGCAAATAAAATATTGCATATAAAGTAATTAAGCACTTAGATTTACAAATTAAAAACTTTTGCACTGCATAAAGTTTACAAAACTTGTATAATATTTCCTCAATGCCAATAAAGTTTCTAAAAGTCTCCTCTGCAAGAATTGCATAGAAAAATGCATATTTTCGAATCCAACTCAATTAATGACCGAGTAAATATACAAGCATAATACCAATTAGGTTCCAAAGCAAAACATTTAATGATATTGCTAAATTGTGTTTGCAATATGCAAATATCCTACAAACATGTATGCACTTAACTATTTTCGTTTTACGTTAGGTACTTACATTTTAACTGATGAAGAATATAAACGTTGGCAACGTAATGAATTATTCGTTTCAGAATAAAGAAATTATTCCACCTGAAATTAATGTGGCTTGTGCAAGATGGTTCGATTAATATTCATAAGAGAATATGTGAGAAATTTTCCATGAATACAGAAAATATAGAGTACCCACTGAGTGTAAATAGTGTAGAGAGTATTCTACTAAAGAATGTAAATCAGCAACTTATACAAGTGCACTGCATCTATTCAAAGAGTCTTTTTATGTATCCATCAGGAGAATAATGTCTCTAATTAAAACAGTTACTTACCCATCCCAACCTTATAAAACTTTAGCATGATTTAAATAATTAATTGTCAAGGTTGACAACACAATTTTCGATAATTAATGGTAATTATTATTATTATTATAATATTAGTTCAACACTTAATGTGTATAGCTTTGTTGATGCCATCAACGTGGGCAATTTGGACAATTTAATAATTTATCATTTAGCTCTCGTTGTCTATGAATATAATTTTTATTATTCCTTCAATTAGATAATTTCGGCTTTAATTCGAGATGGCTTTAGTTTTAATTCGCAAACGAGCTGGTATGTATCAGTGTAGTTATGTATTTTGTAACATCGCCATTTTTCACAATTCAATGTTAAGTGTTTTTTGTCGTTTCTTCGAAATAAATAAATAAATCGTTCGAACTGATTAAGTAACACGTTATTAATACGATTCTTTTTTATTGGATTCTAATCCAGCAATATTAATGAGATAATAGATAATAGATCATTAAATAAGGTATCATTAAGTTTGAAACATGGACGTGCTAGTATTATGAAATTAATGAATGTGGGTATATAAACAAATTGTCGACAGGTATTTATTTTTAGTTAATCATTTTTAGATTTATTGTATCGACATAGCAACACGCTGGTACTTAGAAAAAAATGTTCGAGAGCAAGAATATTTGATTATTGCTTTTGTTGTTATAGATTGAAATTTATAAATATAGGCATCTGTCAATGTCAATGTCATTGTCAATGTCTTTGTTAATTGTTTAATGATAGGACAAATCTACACATTTATTTTAAATCGTGTATACTTTTACCTAGAATTTGTAAGAACGTTTATTCTGCATGTTCTTCGTGAAGAAATTAATTTACTTTAAGAAGTTTTTAGGAGATTTGAGTTCAAACTTATTGATCAGGTAATTATCTAAACTAATCGTAGGTGGCTATTTCGAAAATTACCCTCTTATGTCAAAAATTTATTATTTCAGTATTTTTCCAATCCGATTTAATCCTATTGTGTAAAGTTGTTTCAAAGAAAAAAGGACGTTACATAACGCAATATACAAATCTACATACCTATACATAACAATCAAACGAACACCTGTTTAATTTTTTTATATTAATATCTTGTCAATCAAAAGCAAGAAGTATAAAAAAATAGATAATTGTACCATAAAAAAATAAATGTATTATAGATACTTGTTACTATGTGCTTATGTGTATAATAAAATTCCTAAAAAACATTTTATTGTTTTATTTATAGAGGTCCTGCATCCTCTGCATCCATCAAACCGATGACTAATATTCTGTCATGGCATATTAAATTTCGCTGCAAAAAGCTTTTCGATTATAATGCAGGAATATTACTATTAGTCACAAATATAAATAATAATTATAGAAATCGATCATGCTACCTATAATTATTAATGTAGGTATATTTGGGTAGACGGAGAGACGCTCAGTTTTCTATGGTTAGATCCAGTTGATTATTTAACACGTGCCGAATTAAGGCACACAAGGCCAAGGTCGAAGACGAGCCATTGTGTATTATGTTGTGTTATTCATTAAAAGCGAATTGTCTCCATCAGTTTTATCATAATGAAAAGTGCTGTCGTTTATTTACAAATGCGCTCTTTTACATTTCATTTAGATAACCTGGCGTTGGTAATGAATAACGAAATAAAACGTTCAGCGAATGTTTATCTCTAGGGCATAATTAAACCGTGCTCGAAATTGCCTGTGATTCAATTTAATTTTCATGAACTATTTAATTGATTTGTAATTATAGGTAATTGGGGTTCAAAAATATAGGTAGCAATTAATTTATGGGTCTACCGGTTTTAAATAGATGAATCCGTTTAATGGTAATTAATGAAGTATACAGTCGAATTGGTTCTAAACAAATTGATTCAATTTAGATTGAACTATAAAGCGGGATAATCATTGTGTTTGATCTTTCTAAATTTTAAATTTGAAAAAAAGAAAACTTTAGCGCCATCTTGAGGTTAAAATATGTACAAAATATGACATTACAGGGAACTGTAGTTTGATTTGTAATGTTTGCACCGACTTTGGATAGATGGCAGTAATAAAAAATAATTAAAAATTGTTTAAAAAAAAATAGTGGCAAATTCAAATATTTAAATATAGTCCATTCGAATTTAAACGTGTCTTCAACAACGTTAGATACCAAATGTATAAAAAAAATTAACAATCTACTTTTAATTATTTTTATCGATTTTCTCCGGAAAATTTTTGCATTAATTAAGAGAGTTTTTAGGTTAATTGAGGTGGACAACCCAATCAACCCATCATGAATTTTCCGGTTAAGTTTCATTAACACGCCGCATAAATCAAATCAACAAACAACTCTTCGCATAATTACAACATGCAACAAACAACACGGAAACTTTTCGTTTACAGCATCGCCCGGTTTCCTTGCGCCCATTTCTTCCTATCAAACAGTTCAAACAGTCCGATAAACGAACAAGAAACGGTAATTACACTGTCATGTTTAGGTCAATTCCGTCAATCAGCAGCCAGAACGCATGAGCACGCTCGCGTTCGAATTGTTTTGTTCTATGGTAAGTACTTGTTACTCTGAGCATAAAATTTCATACTGTTTTGTTATGTCGTACTCGATGTTTGTTGTTCTTTGGACATTAATAACCAATTAACCAGTGGATTTGTATTTGAAAGTTTGGAAGGTAAGAGTTTTAAAATTTACTGTTGGTTGTAGAAGCAGAGGAACTTCATGATTTTTTTGTTTAATAAATTCTTGAATTTTGTGTTCAAAATTTTAAAAAATATCTAAATTATTTAGATGAAATATTTTATATCAATAGCGTTATTTAAAAGAGCATTCGAAAGATTTCTATTGATGGATTGGATTTAATTTATTCGAATAAATTTAATTTATTTTTAGCAGTAAAACTAAAGAAATATCATAATTTTTATTCATTGGGGAGAACTGATAACTCCTTAAAAATTCATTTCTATATTAAGAAATAATGCAATGCAACAAAATTACATATATCTAGGAATTATGAATTTCAATTGTGTAAATTTTGTTGCCAGACAGATGCAAAAATGCTTTTAAATACATTTTTAAACAATTTTTAGAATATATTTATAATAATGAATGTTTAATACTTCCGGACAAAATTTCTAGGCAGATATTGCATTATGCTTTACCTCAGACAATATGTATAGTATTCCCAACAATTATTAAACTATTTTTTACAGAATATGAAAATAAGAATAAATAATTAAACTTTTTAATGCGTTAATAAATTAGGTAATTAACAACAATTTGCTTTTATAACATTGTTTCAACCTTCAGTTTAACAACTTTACGTTTTACGTTTTACCGTTTCACTTGAGCTCGTTTTGTTATAAAAAATATTATCTAATTATCTGCAAAAAATCCTCAAAAAAAATAATTTGTATTAGCTTTCTTTGACGTCAAAAGTGAATATATGCACAATGACTTCTTCTATAATTAAAATTATAATTGCATGGCCGTACTAAATTAAAAGTTGTTGGTAAATAATAAAAGGTCAACTTAATTAACCTTCCTTTCTTTTAATTATTGGGTTAATACTCTTTCTGATAATTGAACTTCCACTTCTAAAAATATCCTTCCATTATTTTGCATTCAAAAATAAGAGAATGGAATATATTTAGAAACTGGAATAAATTTATAAAATTTACCTCATGAAAGAACATTATAATAATATGATTATTATTAAAATTATACTCATACCTACGTTAATATTAACATTTGCTGTCACTTTAATGTTAGTCAGTTTCCTGTTCTCGTTCGATTCTGTCGAAATAATAACGAACTATTTCTAGATATAATCTTAATAAAAATGCGCGATAAATACACATTTATAATGATAAAATAATAATCAGCTCAATAATAAATATCGGATTGTGTTTACTACAATGATATATGTATTTACAAATTATATTTCGTTACTTATTTTATCAATTTGATAGCATAGCTGACGCAAAAGGAATAATGCAACATTTTTAAATAACCCACCGAGTATACGCATTTTTTTAAATAAATCTTTATACTATATAGGAACTAATTAAGTTAGCATAATTTATACAGGAAACTCCGTAGGTACTTTAAGTAAATTAATACTCCTTTTTTAGAATCGTGCATGCTTCACCGGATTGCTAATTTAATTCCAGCACTTTCCAATGCTCGCTCTCACACCTTATTTTCGTTCAATCACATCCTATTAAGCGATTTACAGCGTACAAAAAAGGTTTTTCGGGAACTTCCGTCGCCAGAAAATTTCGAGTAGGTTTAATGGATACAAAAGTGACGCAAAATTTCGAACAACAACATTTTGTTGACTCCCGGTTCATTGCGATACTGCGAAAAAATACGAAAACAATTCCGGCACGTGCCCATGCGTGTATTAGTTGTTATTTTGTATGAGCATAAGCGAATTCGAGCATTGAATGAAATGAGGAAATGTGTAACTAAAGCGATTTTAAAACGTTGTTATTAAATAAATTATTTAATGTAGTTTTTTGTAATGATAAGTTTTGTTTATGAAAAATGTAAATTACCTATTAGGTAATAAGTACGTACGTTATTTATGAATGAAATTACCAGCAAAGGTATAATTGTCTATTTCTCTGTTAGGAATAAAGGAAATTAACATTATTTTCTACAGTAAGCATATTTCATTAATTTAATATATCCGGGTGGTCTGTATAAAAATTATATTACTAATAATGCAAGAGTTTTTTATGATATTGGTTTACCTAACAGTTTATTGCCAAGAAAATCCGTTATTTTTCTAGTTCATTCACGACTAGTGGCAATTTCGAGCGGTGCCAATTAGCTCAATTGCCGTCCATGTTAATTTAGATGTTTCAATGCGAGTTCGATGTATATTTAGAAAAAAAGTAGGCAGGGGCTCTTGAACGGGACGGATTTGTTTTGGTACATACATTCGAGTTTAATGAATGTCGCGAAATCCGCAGTTTGTGCGGAATATTTTCGTTAGTCGCGTGTAAATTTTTTATTGGAAACCGATCGAAGATAGATCGAATTGGGAATCTTGGTAGAACGTGTGCATACTTGAAATAATTAATTGTGAATAGGTACTTCATTTTAATTTACTCTCTTATGTACCTACCTATACTAATATTATGCTGCAACGAAAGCTTGTTGTTATTAAATTTGTTAATTAAGAAGTTGATTATTGTTTTATGAAATCATTATTTTAACACCTGATATTACCTTTAAATTTATTTTTTATCATTGCAGAATTTACAAGTTCTACGAGGTCAGTACAAGGCTCAAAACTCAGTGTCAAAATCAGCCCGGTGATCGTTATCTAATCTCCGTATCTACTACGTTTCAGTGCAGATGACTTTTATAAGAGCGATAAATTTCTCATGGTGATACCAGTTCGATATGATCGATTTCGCTGCGTGTCGGTGGAAAAAATATTGACTGAATAGATTCTGAAATATTAAAATTACACTAGCCATAATTGCAGAAAAAATGGAAGTGGAAAACTTGTGTGTGAAGGAACCACAATGGATATTGGATAAAAAGGATTCGGGGACGCTTTATTGGAGAAGAAATTCATCACAAAACGCAAGGTAATTACTTGTAAATACTTGTTTAAAAAGATATTTTAAATAGTGCAATAAAAGACCATTTCAGACATCAGATAAATTTTATTAGTTACTAATCCGATAATAATTGCAATAAATTGTTACATTTAATAATTAGGTAATTTTTTAAATTTACAATGTTTGTGTTAATGTTTATTTATTACATATTATTTATTACACACTAAATTAATCCAGTTATTGGTCCAAAAAAGTAAAAAGAACAAGAAAAACGCAATACATTGTTTTTGCAAATATCTACGTAATGAAATATTTCATACACGTGTATGTACTCGATATGATTACGCAAATAATTACTTACCTATTCATGATCCACCAATAAATCAAGTTTTTTGTTTGATCAAAACATTAGCATTTTTCGTTATGATTCCTTCCTTACACTTTCACCTATTCGTGTAAATATTAACTATAGAATAGCATGGATTAAATAAAACACAAAACCTCATCAAGGTTAAAATATCTATCTTCGCTATTGTAAAGTAAAACTATTTGCATTAATTATTTCATGTACTTTAGACTTACAACATTATACACTTAAATTAGCTTCACACCTATAAATTTTCTATTAATTTTAATCATCCATTCTTAAAAATACCATAAAACCTATATTACAAAAAGAAACGGAAAATTATGTACAGCAATTACTTTTATTCTAGGGTGAAGTTCCGCTATGAAGTGGAAGTCAAGGAATTCCAGAGAAGCGAGCACGAATTCGAGATACCGTTCTGGCTAGAACCATCAGATTCCAGCATAATCTCCACGGGAGTCAGCGTTATGTTCTGCATAACCATCACCGTCATCCTGCCATGGCTGCTCTTCGTAGACAAGTACTGATTATTGTACCAAAATTATTGATAGACACATGGCCGGTTTGTGAATTTTATTTAGAATCGACTGAGCTATTAAATCAAACTTTTAGTATCTTTTCAAACAATTCAGAAACTGGCCATTAATTATCGCAACTAGGTTATGACCCAGTTTTCGATTTTAAAGTAAACCCAATTTATGGTGGCACTAAAATAACGTATGATTGTCGAGTTAGAATTAACTTCCTCCGGCTTTGTTGGATATTTTTGTACTTTTTACTGATGAGAAAATGTTGTATTATTTTGGCAACTGAAAAATCTGTAAGAGAATCTTGTTGTTGGTGTATACAAAATGGTGACTGGATGAATGAGATTGTTGTTTCTTTTAGAGTGTGATTTCCTACATAGGAAACTTATTTTATGGCATTACGATGTGGTTTTATAGATTATTCAGTATGTGTGATAATTTGTGTATATTACCTAAATTTAATTGATAGACACTTGTGATATTAGTTTTATAGTCTCATTGCTAATAAGAGTCGTTTATGTTATTTTTTACTAAAGAAAATATTTACTACAACGACCTTTCGGAGACCTTTAGTAATACTAAATGTATTTTAAATAAACTATGTAGTAATATATTTTATACTTGTTGACTTTATCTGTGCAATGCTATTTATTACTTGTGTACGTTATACGTTGAAATAAAAATATACCTACTCGATGATGTTGTGTGTGTTTTTATTCCAATTTTACGCAGTTTGGAAACTATTTTTATTTGTAATTTCAATTTGGCCAACGGAAGCCTATTGATTTATTTTAAAAATGGGGCAAAGTAAAAGACGAATTGAAATGTACAAAGTACCCTTCTTCAATATATATTTCAGCGTCATAAGAGATCCTTAATAATTTATGTATAAATACAAGGCATGAACAATACATAATCTAATAATTGCGTCATAAAAAAACTAAACTAAAATAACGTTGCATTTGTCATTGTCGGAATATCGGAAACGACAGGTAATACTGATTCTTGAAATATTGAGATCACATTCTAATGTTCTAGTAACTAGTCCTAGGATAACACTCCAACGTTTGAAAGGAACACCCATAGCACAATTCGTCCGATTTGCACATCATCCCTTCGCCGCATTGACCTAATACGTTCAGGGAACCCCCGCATCTTTCGCCTGGACCCTGGAAAAACAACAAAACCTATTACCAAGACTGTTCGATACTCATTCATCGAGCTCCCGCAGAATATTACTAGCTCTTCAAGCAACGAATCCACATTTTCGAGAATTAAACAGTTACTTACTTTTGCACAAATTCGTCTATTACAAGCGTCTCGAGTCTCTCCCCAGACGCACCGGTTCAATGGAGGTGCATTACATTCCTCTTCGTCTGCGCAAGGTTTGCAAATCCAAATTCCTGCTAAGCTCCTGGAACAAAAGACAACAAACCATTAGTGATTTTAAAAACTAAATATAGATGAAATACAACATTGGTTTGGCATAAATAGTAGATAAACAAAATGGATTATCGCATAGAGAAAAGTTTTCCGTTGACAAACAAATTACCGTCTAAACTACTATTCGCAATTGACGTGCGAGTAGACTAACAACAATGTGGACTATGATTTAATATTGCATGTGTAGTGTAGTTGGAAATGAAAATGTTTTTCTCCTGAGGGGTCCGTCTGGAAAGGTACTTGACTTGCAGCCAGCCTTGAGACACGGTCAATGTTTCTATTCTAAGAACGGTATTTTGTCGTTCGATTCGCCACAATGCCAACGGTATTCTATAGGCCAATTAATCCCTATTGAAGAAGTCTTTTCAGGAGAAGCTTGACCAAACATTTAAATTGCCCTCGGCTTGGCGTTAAAACGAAAAGAAAGTTCCTTTCGTGCAGTTTTCGGTCTTAATAAAATAATAATAATAATTTTTACTCACCTATCCGGACATAAAATTACGATAACAGTTAAAGCCAAAATAACGAAGACTAAATTTGGAGGCATATTGACGATACACCTGAAGAATATGATAGTATATGGCTTGAAGTACTTGTCCTGAAACAAAAATTCAATCTTAGTACAAATATACTTTCATTTAAAAAATAGCAAAAAAAATCAGCTCAATTTTTATAAATCAATTTAGAAATATGAAAGTTTTTGAAATTTCTGAAATATCATTACTGTTGGTGTTAAAAATGGAAACCCGTAGAAACCTCATTGAACGTGAAACTTACCAATTAAAACATCTAAACTAGAGAAATTTTCGCGCGAAAATTCGAGCACAACCTCAACATCGTTACAGTCCGACCAATATGTGAGTAATTAAAAAATTCAAAGAAAATTGTCTAATTGTGGAGGATATTTAATTGGTCAATTTGCGCGTCGAATTAGCTGGTGTACCAGAAGCTCTTCGGTTTGTTTACTTTGTCGCTCGATTATTGTTATAGAAGTTTTAATGACCAGTTTATGGCAGTTTGAGTTATTAATTCATCGGGAAGATTCGATTAAACGAGGAGTTGACGTACAAACACGCTTTAATTAGGTAAATATAATTGGAGGAATACTTACAAATTAATTTGGCAACGAGTGAAATAAATTATACTGTTGAATTAATGAATAATCATTTTAAAAATCATTTAGTGTATTTCTGAATTTTGGCGACTTAAAAATTCAGTGTTTTAGCCACCAAAATTTGGATCTATAGGTAATGGATAAAAATTCTAAGTAAAATTAATCAAATTAATGCAAGCAAGAAATTATATTAAATTCAAATCAAATTTAACAGCGTTTTAATCAATTAACTGTACGTTCAAATTAGTACAAATCGATTAACATAATGTGTAATTGATTTATCAAAAATTTACGTTAACGTCAGAATTTAACGATGAAACGAATAACTGTTAATAGCTGTTAATTCCTCAAAATGTATCGTTCGTGTAATAAGAATTATTATTAACAAAAATGTCTTAAAACCCATGCACTCATTAAAATTTTAATAACAAATACTGTTTCTTGAAATTTAATTGTTTCATTTCCTGACAACACCAGTGCGTTAATGAACGTCATTATAATACTGGCAGCAACGCTATAATTGACAAATTATAAGGTAGCCGATAATAATAACATGTATTCAACACATCGAAATAATCGGCTCCATTCTCGCCGGTAATAACAATACCTATACGAATTATTTAATATTCGATCGTTCTTTTCGCGCTACATCATTTTCTAACGCTGGAATAATTTCAAAGTCATTGGTCCGGCGAAATTGAATGGCCGAAGCCGGCAAATAAAAAAATTAACCGCGGATTTTTTCGTCCGTCTCTTAACCTGTCATCTCGAGGTTAGCGCACCCGGTTTGATAAAAAGATTAGATAGAAGAGATTAGTTCCTATTTGGCAATTTTTTTAAGGCTGTTTGGATTACTTACAATGGATCTTCCACATCTCGCACGGTTTGGGAAATGAAAGCGCACGAAATTCTCCTCTAAATTAGGCACATATCGTAATTGCAAAGATTTTTTCGTGTTACCTAATAAACTGTATGCCATGCTCCAGTGACTTAATTGCATAGCACAATCAAATAATAATTGTCATAGGCGTCAGTCTGGAGGCATGTCGGCCAAACCATAATTACGGTAATATGTATAGCGTACGCTAATACAAGTACACATTACGTTCGAAGAAACATCTGCCCAACCGCATTCCTTTAAATTATATAATATTTTGAAAAGTTAATGAATTTTCGATCGATTATTATTTAACACTAATAGAATAACTTTCGTTGCGAAAAATGTAACGTTCTCCCAATTTTTTGAAGTATTTTCAATAATTTGTGTTAGATGCGAATGCATATTGTTTGTCTGTAACCATTTGCCCGCTTGTTTTTCGTGTTCAATCACGTGATTGTACGATTTGTGTCATTTAGAAACCGTATTTGTTATTACTGTAATCAAGAACGTGTTGTTGATATAACGATTCTGGCGACGAAAAATTGCAGAGATAACCACTCGGTTAGAGATGAAAAACATTTTGATCCAAACGAATAACGCTAAATTTATTATGCAAAACATTGTCGCAATTGAACCGGCCTAAAAAGACGCTGAACAAAATTCCAACAACAGGTAGAAAAATCAATCAATTTACAAAATGAAGTGTTACATTTTATTCCTACTTCTTTGGGTATTGCACAGCTCGAGCAAAAGATGTAGGAATTATGTATTCTAGAAAATTTAATTCGATTGGATTACTTACAAAAATAAATTGAACACATTTTTTCTAGAAAACGGCACATTCACTCACAGATCCACTCATACTAAAATCCCAAAAATAATGGCCGGCACTTATGTAACAATAGTGTGAATGTTTGTAACCCTTGCAGCCACATAAACCCCCACTTAACCGAGCAGTTGGTTAAAATTGGGGTAAAATTAACCACATATTTTCTATTAATCTATTATGTATTATTTGCAATCATAATTGGCCCCTTAAAACCACCCCTAATGAAGTTATAACAGTTCCTTGTTGGAATTGGGGGAGTTAATTATAATAGCCGGTGAGCGATGTTTAATAGCCAGGCGTCACTGAGAAGAAGAGGCCCTGTAGAAAATTGACCAGACTTCTATTAGGAACACGAATTAGAGCAAAAAACTTTCGTGTTTTTTTTATTCGGTCGCAAACTGGTTGAAACGTGAATACGTCGTTTAATATTTTGCTCGATCCAATTGCAGATTTAATGCTTGATAATTATTGAAATGTTGTTTGTTGTGTTGAATGTCACTTTTACCAGGAGGTCAACAAACTGGCGCTGAATTTCCTTATCAAACGAAGCAAAATACGAATGAAAATTGCAATACATAAATTACACGATCAGAATTAAAATACTCTCTAGATTACGTCCGAATTCCGAAACAAATAATGCATCTTTCCTATTTTCTACAAAGTTTTTTCATTTTTTTAAATAAAATTTCAATTGATTGCTGAGTCATCGTAGATTACCCTATTTTATTTAGATAATGTATTTAGGGCGGTAAATGTAATCATCAATCATTTAAATAAAGATACACATTGGGGTACATAATTAATTATGTCAGCAATTAGTAGGTAATAAAAAGTTTATAATCGTGCTAACTATAATTAAAACAATAAAAAATTGAATTATAAATTAAACACCAATTTTATCTTTTTAGTGGCCGTTTTTTTAATCGTTTCGTGTAATGCAGTACTTGCTATAACAAAATTGTGCAATTATTGTATACAAATTAAAAGTTATCGCGCTTTTAGCAGCATTTTTATGCAATACGCGGTGTATACAATAGGAAACAATCTCGGTGTTATTGTTTATTGGTTTTTAATAGCCGGCAGTAAATTTCGTTGCAATCTCGAAAAAGTTTTCCATTCAATCATCATGGTCAATGCGTTCTTTACGAGCGATTTATTTTTATTCCAGATTTCTATTTTTAGCGAATACGGTCGAGAGATGGCGGAAATTCCTTGAGCGGCTCGAATTAACGAGTATCTTTTTTGACATTTATCTTCTGAAAGCCTGGAATTCGGATTGAGTGTAACAAACGCATTAAAAAATCTGGAAGATGATGATGATTGTATTATTACTTTTTACAAATTTTATTTTAATCTTACAGAAAGTGAATGCCCCGAATAGAAAAGGGTTGGGTTAAAAAAGGAATTTGAAATGAATATTAGGTAGTTACCATATTATTTTGAATTATAGAAATCAGTAAAATATGTTATGCTCGAAAATTCCTTAAATGTTTCCAAAGAAGTTCGATAAAATGAAGAGTAAATAGACTTATCTCCAAGGCGACTAGACGTTTTGACATACTATTATATTAAAAAATAATTTAATAAAATCAGCGCATTAAAACCCTCTTTAAAATAACTGAAGGGTCACTTTTAATTATATTAAAAATGTCCTTAATATAAATTTATTATTTAAAAAACAAACTGTTTGTAAGTATGCAATATTTTTATTTTATTGTAGTCGAGTCATATTGACTCGGGTCAACCGTTTTATTGTTCCGGGAATTTCAACAATGTGGGTTGTTTTTCAAAACGTTTGTTTTATAAACGAAAAAAAAAATAGTCGAATAAAATTCTGAGACAAATATTTTGATCAGGTGTCACTGCAATCAACGTTTCGTGCAAAAATTATATACCTATCACGTTTGTCGAATTTTAGTACCAGCATTTCGTAGTCTACAGCCAAGAATTTATTTACTTCTATTTATCTATTCATATTCTCAGGGATTCCCAAAAAGTGTAGAAGCATACCACGGCAAGACAAGAACGGAAATTTGTCTGAAAAGCAGAAAATGTCTTCGACAACAAATTTGCGATTAACGTAGATGAGCTAGATTCGCATTGAAAGTGCGTAAATAAATTATAAACAAGTGGAAGTATCACTGACTGCATGTGTACAAGGAAAATTTATTGGGAGCAATTGTACTTAAACGGCAAACAGGAATTGGTACACTCTCAACATAGCCGCGTTAGAACTGGCGAATTAATTAATGGCTATTTCGAGGTAAACGTTCATTCCGGAAAAATTCTAATAATCTGCAAAAGACTAGTGTCGACGTCGTTTCCTTCGGAATACATGATATCCATCTTAAATCTAATATATTACAAGACACACATAGAAGATCCAGTCAGTAGTAACGTTTGCAGTTGTATATTACAATCAAAGAAGATTATTTAAAATCCTCCGGTGATCCTTTTATTTGGTTATTATTTTGTAAGGGTCAAGCACCCTCCGCTTCAAGTTCATCGAGTAATCAGTTTCGGAAAAAACGCATCTAGGACAAACGAGCCCGCGCTCTCTTGCAATAAAGTGCATAATTTATACTTGATAATAAAATTCGTACAAGGAATTTCGCTCACTAATTAAGCTCGCAGAACGCTCGGGGCTTTGCGACAATCAAATTCGACGTTTACGATGCATTGCGTTTAGTACAGCTTTCGAACAATGTTTGTATAGAGAGTGCTAATCAAATCGGAGGGTGTACAGGGATAGACAAATAAAAGTTAAAGAGTCTT